ACATTTGTTTGAACAAGGAGGGGGATCTGTGTGAAACAACTGTCTGTGCACATACATGTACAGTGGTTGTACATGTACATGTACTTACGCATGCACACACATGGACACACACACTGGTTTGATGTGGCTACATGGTACAGAGCTCACTTGTTGGTTTGTATGTGCATGCTAGGGTTATGCTTGCCTGTACTGCACAGATTCACACATGACCAGCTGTTTATGATGTGGTGTGCCACTGTTGAGCCCAAGTGTCACTCTCAGTTTTGAACTTGACTTTTACTTTGGTTTTATCCTATGTTTATCATCAACTCATACTTCAGCACACTGTCTGTTTTGGAGTTTTAATCTGGGCTTTTCTCAGCAGAGCTTTAGCTCCCTGCTTTTCTCTGCGCTGCTGGCTGTCTGCTGGCCACGAATAGCGACAGACTGGCACCTCTGTCTGACCTCTAGCACCACTCGGTCAGCAGCACAGTCCAACAGGTCACTGAGCCAAAACCTAATCCACAACTGATAGATGGATGACAGCTCTGTTGCTCAATGGGGTGGTTGCTTTAATAGGCAGGGTAACAGACCATTTTGTCTTTTCCACCCCTAGAGATCAACAGTGCAGTAATAATGGGGGAAAGAAAAGAGTGAAGTCATAAAAGAAATGATTGGAAGAAGATGCAGTGGGTCTTGAGAATGATTAGTTGTGGAGGATGAGAACCAGGATGGAGGTGTTTACGTTATAGGAGAGTGGATGAGAATGTCACAGTGCAAAAGCTGACAAGGAGGAGAATGCAGTCAGAGAGATGGTAAAAGTTAATCCCCACAGTGATGGATGGGAGAATTATTTAAGGGAGAGAGCAACCACAGTGCAGGGCACAGCACTCTTTGTTGATGCCATGATGACTGGGGTTATGTTGAGGTCATGAGGTTCCACTAATTCCACTATTCTCAACCAATGCTAGCAGCCACAATGAATGACTATGGTTAGAAAGTAAACATTCGACAGGAACTCACCAGATGTTTCAGCTTATTAAGTGCCAAAGGGCTAATGTGTTAGCACACATTTGGTCATCGTTGTTGCTATATATCAAATGTAGGTCCCACATATGATAAGGTTGGGTCTGCAAACACCTACAGAATTATCCTGCGTTATTTACTTCCACAGTGTTCTTCACGTTTCAGGATATTTTCATGTTTGTAAAATCAACTGACTACAAGTGAGCAATTGAATACAAAGCAAAAATTTAAGTTAATGAGTTGTCTTGACCTAAAACCCTAACTTAAATAATATTCTTAACCAGAGTACAGATAAGTTCTAAGTTTCTGTCCGAACCTGGCCTGAAACCTCCCGTACCGATGGGTCCCATTGGGCTCGATTGGGGTATCCACACTCTAGTGACAAGCAAGACTGGGTCTTTAACATGTTTGAGCACAGGTGAGACTTGTAAAGGATGCAAGTACTAAAAAAGTACAAAAGTGGTCAAAGTGAACATCCACATATGATGGTTATACTGGTTCTTCAATTTTATTTTTAGCAGTTGTCAAACATAACGTGTTAGTTGTTAAAAATCAGCACAGCTATAAAAATGTATACACATGCTTTTTAATTTTAAGTGTACATGATCAGGTCACACTGTGTACATCGGTGTGTGTCATTATAATTCACTGGTTTGAGGGGGCTGCAGGATAGGCCGAAAGGTTTGAGGTTAGCGATGAGGTTGCTGGCGGTGGAGGTGGAGGGGCATCCGGGGAGACTGCTGGACTATGATTGGGCTTGCTGAAGGAAGGCTTTGGGGGGCTGTGGTGGGAAGATAAGAGGCTGCATGTGTGGTTAGGAGGCTGAAGGGGGTGGGCTGCAGTTGTAGGCTGCAGCTGGCAGAGCAGTGATAACCAGGAGCCAGACCTCCTCTCTTACCTCACCCTCTCTCTGTCCTTCTCACTTCTCTGTCGAGCTACGTGATGCACTGTTGAACTCAACAGTGGCACTGGTTTCCAGTAAGGGATGTAGTGCTGTGTTGTAAGCACACTGTTTGTTGGCTAAGGAGGCTAAGCTCAGAAAACTAGGCAGAACTGTTGAAAGCTTCCTTATCTTGCCATCTTATTGTATAGTCTTTGACAGATTTTCAAGAACTGAATAAACGCTTCTCTGCAGAGAGTGTAGAACCTAGGATTAAAACATATTCTCTTAGAATTCAAATTCATTCTTAAAGAAAACAGGAACTATGGTATCTGCTGCTAACCAACAACAAGTCTTGTGTGCTCTGAGCACTGATATGGTTTTGCCGGTTGAAACCTCTGGGTGATGTTGAGGGCAGCTATCAGTATCACTGCTACTCTTCCTATCTGCCTGACAGTTTTCACTCTGAGTCTTTCAAACAGCAGAACATATTAGGGTCATGATAGGTCTTTAAAGGATAAGGCTAGTGATTTTGTATGTTTTTGTTATTTGCCACAAATTTCATACAGAGACTAAAAACTATAGTGACTTTTGTGTATGCATTGTAATGTCTGTGAATATAGAACCTAAGGTTCGCTTATTGTTTGTGCCATTGACCGTCATTGTGGTTCCAAAAAACTCCATTGAGACACACTGCTGCATGTTTTTTCCTCATGAGGCCCACCTTTTTTTTCAAGAAAAGACTCCAAAGACTAAGAATGGCCATCGGTTTTTACAGATTCTGTAAGAAAGAGTCAGTTGCCCATGATAGTGATCTGTGCTTGTTTTTTGTGAGGAAGAAACATGTCACCCAGTGCACCAGTGTGCCTCACTGGTGTGTTTTTAATGGTTTTTCAGACCACATTGGAGGTCTGATAAATAAGCTAAACTAGGTTCTCGTTACTCAGTAAGTTATACTGTACAGTACATGATTCAAAAGTAGGGGGATGTTATGGTTTTGTAAAGAAAGGTGATAGCAGGGAGATAGGAGGTCCATGGTGTCAATTATGTGGCACTCCATGCTGTACCATAAGAAGGGCTGAACTTGTTATTTTAGTTAAAACTATATATGATCCTGATATTACTTCTGCCTTTTCTATACAATACATTGCTTTTGTCAGCAGACAGATGTAATCAGATATACAAAATCAGCACTTCATAATGGCAGACCATCAAGAATGACTTGAAACATAGTGTTTCATTATGCTCCGTATACAGTAGTTAGATATGGTAATATAACAATGAAAACCTAGTATCTTGAAACACCAGATCTACAATTACAACAACAGAAACAGCAAAGTGGGAAACTTTGCTGAAGTCACTTTGGAAACTTTCTTTACTCTTTTGTGATATTTGTACCTTAAACTTCCATCTGTGGTTCTCCTGAAGCCTTGTGAAGCTTGGTGGCAGTAACTCATACTCGATAACTTACACATAAGACTATGAGACATATCTCAGGCATACTGTAAGTACAGTAAGGTGGCTGTGTATACAACCAGTGCATGTATGGTGTGAGAAATATAGTGTTTACAATATATTAGAGCCCTGTGGTGAAATACTACACAACAGTAAAAGGTCTAGTGAAGTCAGGCTGTTTTCTCAACAGCTTTCATTGGCCATCATATATGTTTACTCTAAGTGTGTACCTCAGTGTCCACGTATGAGTGTGAATGTTTCAATGTGTCTGGGTGTGTGCGTGGCGGGGGCACAGCCTCGTATGTTTGGAGCGAGTGCCGTCAGTTAGCTGGAATGTGGCGCTAGCGCCAATGCTAAGATGGCTGCCAAGCTCTAAGATGGCTGCCAGGATTACACCCAGCCAGTGAGAGACAGAGAGAAGCGAGAGATTCTGCATGTGAAGAGAGGGGAAAAAAGAAGCTCTCTTTCATTTCTGGTCTCTTTCTTTCTTTCCTTCTTTCTTTCACGCTCTCGGCTGTCTCACCCCAGTCTATGTGGATAAGCAGTGCTTCGTAGGCAGTGAGACAGGTCTGTTATTGTTTCTGCTCAGTAATCTGTGGCTTAGTGTGGCTGCAAAGCAAGTGCTGCTGGCAGGAGTCTGTGTGCTCTGTTATCACCTACAGGCTGCAGATAAACACCTTCTTTAGCTAACTTGCTATCTATATACAGCCTATCTAGGCCTGAATGGATGGCCATTAGCATTAGCCCCCCGACCCCACCCCACACCAGTCTTGGAAATGGAGCTCTGTTTCATTCACCAACCAACTTTTCTCAAAACTCATTTACAAAACCTAATTTTCCTGCCCGGAGCTCCTTCAGGTCTAACTGTGCCCTCTGTTGCCAAGTCTTGGCGTGTTTTTGTCTGTTCATGTGAGTGAAGTCCTGTTGCTTTGGAAGACTAGTCAAAACAGGCATGTGTTTGTGCAAAATGTGTGCATGTGTTCATCTTGCTCAGCTGTCATTTGATCCCACAAAGATAAAGTTGTCTCAACTTTAACATACTCTATCTCAAATGGCTCAGGCCAGCCAAACTGGTCTGGTCTGTTTGTATGATTATGTGTGCGTATGCCTGTGCAAGGATTTCAACATGTATTAAAAGTACAGGTATGAAACAAAAAATTAGAGAAAGAAACAGATTGAGGAGTGTGTGTGCGTGGTTGTGTGGGTTGTGTGTTCAAGGTGTTGCGTTTACGCAGGCTAAATCCTTACCAGCAAGAAGGTATTAAATGGGATTAGGGTGAGGGTTATGATTGCGTGGTTAGATACTAAATGGCATAGCAGCACACTGTAAATCATTGCACCTTGAGTCAGGAGGGACAGAGGGAGACAGGAGAGAACATTCTTAGATTCAAGACTGTCACACAAAAAATGTGTGAATTCATACACATACACTCACAAGATGTATTCCATACCCCAGCACATACTGCAAGTCCCTCAAGTCTCTTTTATTCCCTCTCACACCTCAGATATCACAGTCTTGGCAGCATGGATACATAACGATGATTCATCGAGACATTGTACACTTACCAGTATGTTTTTCATTACTTTTTTTAGCATACAGACCAGATCCTAACCATTTGTCTTTCTCTGTTTCCCCATCTCTGCCTCTGTTTCTGTGCAGAGTCCGGACAATCAGATAGCTCCAGCCAACAAGGGGACACAGACATCAAACCACCGCCCAATGGTAAGAGCACGCATGCACACATTGAGCCAAACACGGTCAAATCATCATCTTGGAATTGATTCCATCATGCTTATCAGTCTTAACATATTCCAATTATGGATCCAATTAGCAAAAACACTCACACAGATGTTGATCCACAAACATAGTTGCAGATGGTCACCGTCTCAAAGGGATGTGATTTTCAGGGTTTCTCCCAATTATGTTTTTTATTTGAAACATAATTTTGTGGATTTCTTATGTGCTGTTTGTATTATTATTTATTTTTTTCTGAAAGCTTTTGTGTGTACATAGTATGTACTGTAAAGTTCTGACCACATCTTTTTCTGTACAGGGCACCTGAGTTTCCAGGACTGCTTTGTCACCTCAGGCGTGTGGAATGTGGCAGAGCTAGTCAGAGTGTCACAGAGTAAGTGGTAAAATCACTATATAGAGAGGTGTAGGAACAATTACAATACCCAGAATATGATTTGTGGTTTAAACTACATCAATTTCCTGACTGGGACTAAAAACTGCAACAAACCAGCTCAGTTATGAAGGAGCCAAGTATAATCCCGTTTTGAGTAAAGGTACTACAGAGACACTATCTATCTGTGGATGATTCTTGTCCTCCATTGAAAATTTCTTTCTCTTTGTTCTTTTTTTTCCACCTATATCTTTCTTTTTTTCCTTGCCAGCTCCTGTAGCCACAGCGTCAGGTCCTAACTTCTCACTGGCTGACCTGGATAGCAGTCCCAGCTACTACAACATCAACCAGGTGGCTCTGGGGCGACGCTCCCTCACCTCCCCTCCTTCCACCAGGTACAAAGCCTCAACTATGGTGTAGAGGTGTACAGAGATGTATCCTATGCAGGAAATGCCAACGACCATTACACAAGTCCAGTCATTTGCTGTTAGTAGCGTCTCTTTGTGTGAAGTCACACTTTGGCTTTAGCACCTGCCAACAGCAGACTGGAGGGACAGGTGAAGTCACAGTAATATGTGCCAATGGTACATCACTTCTTAGCACAAGAAAGACTGTATTGGTAAATAAAGTATGCCAGTTCACTGAGGTTTCTTACAATGAATGGTATTTAATGCTGCAGCCCATTCCCACTCTTGGAATCTGTCCTGAACCTCTGCATATACAGTATGTGTATGTCTCTCTCTGTGTGTTAGCTGCTTTCCTCTTTATGAATGTGTGATTGCTCTTTCTGCTTTTTCTTCTTTTGTGTCTTTCTTAATGCGTCTCTTTCTCTCTTCTTACCTTTGTCATCTGCTGTTACTTTAGGTCTGAGGTGGAGTTGTACGCAAACCTTCCACGGAGGTAGTTATAAACACTTACAAAGACACAAATTAATGACACACATGCACAGAAAAACACAGATACACACAGACACACACATAGAGAGAGAATTTTGCTGTGTGGCTGTTTCTGCTTTTTAGCTTTTCTTTCTTTTTCCTCTTTTATTTGTAGATTTGACATTTCTTGTCCTTTGTATCTGTTCTGCTCCAAGCCTTTACGATAGTATTATTGTTTCCACTAAGATGCAAAACTAAAAGCGTCTTGGAACATTGAGGTGCTTGTTTAGACAATTATTTCTAAGTTATCAGTTCTGCATTCCTGATCCATAAATTTCCTGCTATTATATATAAATCATGCTTCCCCTCTCCTTCTGCCTCCCACCTCTCCTCCATTCTCCAAACATCCTCTCCTTGCCCTCAGCTCCACCAAGAGGAAGTCATTAGACGACAGTGAACTGGAGAGCCCCACAGATGATGTTTTCTACCCTGGCCGCTCGCCTGCTGCCAGCTCTTCCCAGTCCAGTGCATGGCCCAATGACATGGATGCAGGTATCCATTTATCCTACCCCACACCTGTCACCCACTAAGCAAGCATCACAAAACTATTTCACACTCTTGCCTGACCCCCACCCCAGAAACAACTGATGACTCCATCTGACTTTGTGTCTTCTCTACACCCTACCTCAGTCACCTTCCGTCACTCTGGTGGTACACACGGTTCTGAACACCCCTCGAAACCTACCACTCACCCACCAACCACTTTCCTGAAGACCCTGTGGCTGAATCTGACATTTGTACAAGTTGCTGAAACAGCAGCACCCAGTTCATACTAAAAATGTTAATTTCTCAAAAAACATTAGGATTGCTTTATTTATCTAGAATTGAAATTGATCATCATGTAGAAATGTGAAGCAAAAGCCCTTAAGTAGTTTAACTATGCAATGCCCTATTATATATTTAAGCATATAAGTATATGTTGAAATGGAAACATTTAAGATCACATGATTTTCTCACATTTGTGTATGACGTGAAGACAAAGACGTGAAGATAACTGCCAAAACAAAGGAGAGTTAGATAAATAACTAAAGGCCACATTTAAGTCTAGTCAAAAAAACAAAATAACATTAGCAGTAAAACGTTTACACAGTCACCACCCTCACCTTGTGGTGAAGTGGGTTAACACTGTATGGAATAGTCTCTTCCTTCATTGTTCAGTAAATAGGTTTCTAAACATCAACATGTTTTAAATTGGAGTCTCTGCCATTTTTGGTACGAATTTTTTTCAGCTGAATTATTCACAGATAAATGATGCTAAATGCCATCCATCAAATAGCTCCAGACATCGGGAACATAAACGCCAAAATGCATCAAGAATGAAACTGCAGCCTACAGCAGCCTGTATTAAGGCTTAATGTTGGTGTTTCCATTGTTTTGGCAGTAACAACATCCTCAGTGATTCAGCTTTAGACATTTTTCTTTACTCTATCTCATCCCTCCAACAACACAGTAACTCCAAGAAAAACCTCTTCCTTGAATCCCACCCCCAAATATCCAGGCTTCATATTTCTTCATCTTTCCCTTAAACCCATAATTACACATACAGTTTACCTAATGTTTTGCCAATTATCAGTCATTCACTAAATTGTTCATACACAAATGCTCATTCTTAACTTATTCTGTCTCTCTCTCTCTCTCTCCCTCCCACTAACTCATTGTTAACAATACCCTTCTCCACTTTCAGTGCAGCACCATTTGGCGAGTGTGCAGGAGAGGAAGATAAAACATGAAAACGATGGCGTGCAGTTTCCTTACCATGGTTAGAACATTGATTACACTCATATATATTTGCTATTTATTAGCCTTTCTGTAGCTCAGTGATTCCTGTATGCGTGTGTGTGTGTGTGTATAAATATATATATACATAAATTTATATACTGTATGTGGTGTGTGTGTGTTGTATGTGAGCTGTATGAATGTCAGGGATTGTGTAAAAATGGGACTAAACCTGTTTATTAATCTCAGTAATTAGTTATCAGACTGATGTAATTGCTACTGATCAAGTTTCATTTAGAAGCAATACATTTCATGTAACATATAGAACCAGGGGTGTTGAGGATTATCCAGTTCAGGCTTTACTTTCAGTGCAAAACATAAGGCGACAAGTAGCTCCTCTAAGATCCCTGGCTTTATCTCTCTGAAGCTAAGTCAGTCCTCCCAGCAGCACTTTGACTGACAGATGTCACCAGGCTAACGCACTGACACTCGCACCACCAGCAGGCATTTTCACCTGCTGGGCCCATTGTGCCTCACCTACACATGCCCCCACCCACCTGGGCACACACAGGCATACAGGATAATGTAATGTACATACACAGGCATCCCCCACACAGG